AGCCTCAAGTTCTTCCAAAGCTATAGTCCATGTGTCATTTTTCAAACATCGATGTGCTTCTGCAATAGTGCATTCTTTTTATATAACGTAACATGCTGTCGTTGATTATTAGATGCCAAATACCCTCAACACAATTGTTCTTCACGTTCCTTTAGGACCTGATTCCTCTCGATAAATGTTGCGCTGAGCGCGGCGTCCTGTAATGAGCAAACATTCAATGAATATAAAGATACTAAAAATCATAATCTTACTAGGTACTGATCCAGAATCAATAACTTTCCACGTTGTTTCGTCTTTCGATTGTTCGGTGTCTCCGATTGAAATAGTTTTTCCTTGTTGACCGCTTTTTCTCTCGTGACTTGGCTTAGATGCACTTGGATTCACGATAAAATTAGCTGACTCGTGCTGTTGAGTTGTAGAAGCAGTGTTTACATAAATTGGTGAGTTTTTTACAATAAAACTTTCTAACTACTCTGAAGCATCAGAGTCACTTGAATCATTATTTTGTGGTGGTACGTATTGTTCATGGTCTGACTCATTATTTTCTGCAAATTCAGATTCACCTCCCGAAACTTTTTTCGTATTTCTTCAAGAAGTTCAAGCTCTGATAGTCCACGATGAGTCATCTTTACAGTCGTCTTGAATTTTCACAATTGAACGAATGTTTCAATATTCTAGAAACGAGAGTCAGCAGAACCTAATAAACCGCTCAATAAACAAAATACTTTCAAGGAACAAACAGTATGTAACAAAATACCTTCTAGGAATAAACGTACATAAACATAATTTAATCTATCCAACAGAAAGTTAAAAGAAATCGTCAAATTTCCGAGAAAACGATAATAATTAATATAGGGCCAGTTTCGCCCCTTCAGACTTCTATGGTAGGTTTGTTGGAAAATCCATTTAATAAATTTAGTAAACAATATTTTTTTACGTTAAATAAGACTTTGTATCAAAACATGAAAAGTCATAAAATATGAAATTATTATTGTGTCAAATAAAAGAACTAGAATAACTTCAAATCGCAACAGGGGCCAAATTGGCCCCTCCGACTTTCTAGTGTTAATAGATCTTCCGTTAATTTTCTTCAAAAATGGCTTCACTATATACATTAAATAGTAATGGGGACATAATACATCCCTGCCTAACTCCTCTCCTGATTTCAATTTCTGGACTGGGTTTATTATCTATTACGATTTGTGCTCTTTGATTCCAGTAGAGGTTTGTTATTATTCGTAAGTCCCTGTGGTTTATGTTTTTTGTCTTTAGAATTTGGACTTATTTTTCATGTCTTACTTGTCAAATGCTTTTTCAAAATCAACGTAACAAACATGCACATCACTTGGAGCTAACACATTAAAAGCAAATAACGCTTCTCTGGTTCCTAGTCCGTTTCTGAACCCAAACTGACTATCATCTATTCCTTCTTCCAGTTTCTTATTTATACGACCATGTATTATTTTCAGGAATATTTGAGAATGTGACTTATTAGTGATGTTTTTCTGTATTCACTGCAATATTTAGCGTTTGTATTTTTAGGAATAGCACAAAAGGTGGAGAGTAACCATTGTTTTGGTATGTGCCTGTTTTGTATACTGAGTTAAATAAGTCTACTATAATGTCTAAGGTTTCATCATTCATGCATTTTAAGATTTCTATAGGGATTTCGTCTGGACCTAATGCTTTACCATTTTTCTGTTTTTTAATGTCATTTTAATTTCCTCTTTTAATATATTTAAAACCATGCCCTGTTCTACTTCTATCTCCATCTGTTCTGTTCTATTGTCTTTGAATAGTTCATTAATGTATTATGTCCATCTCTTTAATTTATCGTTAGTATTCAACACAAGTTTCCCATTTGCATTTTTCAGTATTCCCGGGTTTTTTTGTTCTATTGTTGTGAGTTAATTCTTTATTTTTTTTTGTTTTAGAGCATTTAAAAGAACTAAGAATGTATTTAAAATTTTTTTTTTGATAAAAAATGCATGGGATATATAACAATCGCTACATAAGGGAACATCACACATTTTACAAATAAATGTGGTACGTTTATTTTTCTAATTTGTGTACACCTTATAGACCTCAAACGACTGGATTTTCCTAATATAGGTAAATGGTCGCCAACATTACTCATCACCATGGCTGACATGCTTCGATGGCCAACATGTTTGGTTTTTTTTTCTTCTGTGGAGGCCTTGACGGCCAGTACTGATAAGAATCTCAGCTAAATTAACTAGATAATTAAGAAAGGGTATTTTCTTATTTCTGGTATGTAACTCAGTATATAGAATATATAAATTATTGTCTACTGCCATCATTAGAACTTTGTAGTAAATCTTCTTCCACCATTATTGGGATTTTATATTGAGATTGTACACAGATGTCATTTGATCACATCTATCTACAATTTTAAACCTCCCATGTAACGGTTATAAAATTCTATCGATACAGTTGTTTCTTCTGGCTTATGGCAGTTAGTTAGTACAATAAAATCTTTTGTATCCTGCCATCGTATAGCTAATGTTCCTAAAGCGAAATGAAATTTGGGTAAATTTTTAGGGTACTCTTGCATGTACCGACAGCAGGAAACATAATGGTATCCATAAGATGAACTGTTGTAAAAAATCTGTCGAAGCAAATTACATTTTCATTAGAAATTGTTGAAGATAACTGATTCACTGAGAGAACACTGAAAACTCTGTTTTCAAACTTCCACAAAATTTATTTTAAATCTTATCACTACAGCTGTTTCGGCTGATTGCCTTTCTCAAGTGATCTATTTTTGGCTTGGGTTTACAAATGTATAGTCTCTAATGAAATAGGTTGAGGAGGGGAGAACTGTTTATCTCAAGTTCGTCATTTAGAATTATATCTGTGTTTTTTAATTTGTTGATTTTCATAGATTCTAACAAAGATAGCTTAAGGCCTTTATTTTGAATGTGAAGAATTTTAAATTTGTCATTAAAAGAATGATTATGATCTAGAAGGTGAAGTGCGTATGTCGAATCTGTTTTTCTATTCTTGAAAGCCCTTTTATGTTCTGCTATTCGTTTATCAAAGTTTCTACCAGTTTGACCGATAGAAGTTTTTGGGCAGTCGCCACATTGAAGTTTGTACACACCACTATTTAAATGTTTTTTATTTTGGCTTTTGTTATTTTTGATATATTTGCCTAGGTTGTTATTTGTTCGGAAAGCTGGTGTTATTCCTTTCTTTTTTATGTGTTTGTCAATTTTTGTTGTTATTTTGCCTGTATATGTAATCGAGCAGAAGGTATTGGGTTTTTTCTCTGGTGGTGGAAATACTAATTTTAGGGCTTTCTTGTGTAGTTTTTGATTTAACATTTTATTAATTGTTTGTTCGTTGTATCCGTTGTTTACTGCTATTTGCTTAATTATATTTAATTCTGTCTCAAAGTTGTATTTTGACATCGGAATTTCTGTTAATCTATGTAACATAGGTACCATGATAAGCTGCCAGTTTATGTTGTGTTGGATGGGATGATGAATTGTGTATAGTCGTGTCAGTATGGGTAGGTTTATGAAATATTGAGAAGTCATGTTTGTTTTGAAGTCTGCTAATTTTTAAATCTAAAAAAATTATGGATTGATTTTGTTCTGTTTCTATTGTAAATTCAATATGACTATGAAGTGAATTAATATACGATAAAAAGTGGTCGAGTTGCCTGTTAGTTCCTGTGAGGGTTTTCAAGAATAGAAAAACAGATTCGACATACGCACTTCACCTTCTAGATCATAATCATTCTTGTAATGACAAATTTAAAATTCTTCGCATTCAAAATAAAGGCCTAAAGCTATCTTTGTTAGAATCTATGGAAATCAAAAATTAATAATAATATTTTCCTAAACTGTGATTTAACTTCATTCTGTTTTACCAATAAACCTTAACGACATAAAGATTCAAAAGTACTACTTGAATTGTCAGCGCATGCGTTATGATAAAACAGAACCTTACATGAAAACTTTCAAACAATCAAAAATTTAGTTAGTGCCGACAATTCAAAGAATTACTTCCTTTTAAATGTAGTTACTTTGGGTTTTTCGATTAACCTTGGGGACACCTTTTTGTTTTTTTTTCACATAGTAAAAAAAACCACTATGTTGTTACTAGCTAAGGTTTTTAACATTCTAACTCTACAATTATAAGTTACGGTAAGATCACCAGTGTTTTTTGATAGATAATATTTGGTAGCTAATTATAATTTCTTCTCTTTCAGCCCTGAAGAAGCCAAATTAATTCTCCTATAGCCTATTAATTAATTAATCCCTCAGCCTATTAATTAATTAAATAAATTTAAATTTGGCGAAAACGTTCGGCGACACAATTACTCATAAGAGTCTTTCTTGCATATTTCCCCAATATTTAAGAGTTTACTATTTAACTTATCTGCAAAGATTAAATTTCTTTTCTATATATATATATATATAATATATATATATATATATATATATATATATATATATATATATATATATATATTATAAAAACACTTATTTTCCAGACCTGGCGTTGAGCTATGCCGCGACGAACCGGAAAAAGGGCTGAAGGAAGAAGTCCTCCAACTTCGCCAAACCCGTAAAGACTTCGCGAAAACGTTCGGCGAAACAATTGATACTCATTAGAGTCTTTCTTGCAGATTTCCCCAATATTTAAGAGTTTACTATTTAACTTATCTGCAGAGATTAAATTTCTTTTCTATATATATATATATATATATATATATATATATATATATAGATATATATATATATATATATATATATATATATATATATATATAGATATATATAAATATATATATATATATATATATCTATATATATATATATATATATATATATATATATATATATATATATATAGATATATATATATATATATATCTATATATATATATATATATATATATATATATATATAATATATATATATATATATATATATATATATATATTATAAAAACACTTATTTTCCAGACCTGGCGTTGAGCTATGCCGCGACGAACCGGAAAAAGGACTGAAGGAAGAAGTCCTCCAACTTCGCCAAACCCGTAAAGACTTACAAGACAAAATCGACTGCGCCAAAGCTACCTACAACGCTTTGGAGGACCAACAAGTTAGAATCGATAAAGATCTGGACGACAAAGGTCAGGGGCTTATGACTGACATTCGATGCCTAGACATGAGAATTAGACTGAGAACTGGAGAATTTGCAGGACCCGCAACTTCTACGGATCGGAATATTCAGTTGACTAGGATGGAGAAAGAGATTCCGCCTTCGTAAAATTTTGGTTTGCTCTATATCCGTTGATATTTGACATTTTGCCTAGCATTCCTGTTGTCGATGGATAATAAATATTTAAAATTATACTTTGTTTAATTTTATTCTGATTTTGGCGCCATTAACTTTTTCTTTATTATTCCTACACCAATAATTAATAAACTACTTAATTATTTAATTCAATTAGTATTATACGTATTTGACTACACAAGTCTCCTCATTCTGCTTATATGGTGATTTCATTCTTTTCTTCTATTTTTATTGTCCATTCGATTTTCTTCTATCTTCACTCCTCTTTCAATCTCTTAACTCATTTCCTATAATTCTTCTCAATACTCCATCTCCACCGTTTCCAATAGTGCTTGTGTTATGGCTATATCGGCTCTTGTTTTTGATGCATTTCTGATTATTAGACTTAACCTGGCTTTATAAATTCTTGGCTTCATCTATTTGTTATACTATATGTCGGTTTCGTCATATAGTATTATTATAGCATCTTGCCAGTCTATTTGCTTTTTGTAACGAATTTATTTTGCCTACCACATAGGGTATTATTATGGGGGTTGAAAATTGGGACAGAAACTATTGGGTTAGATATAGGGCAAGCAAAACAAATCGATACCTATGCTAGCGGCACTCAGGTTTTATTTGGAGAGCTAGGGTCGTGGATAAGTTGAATAGCAAGGGGTCTGATTGGGGCAACTACAAAAATGAAACGAAAAGAGGGTACTTATATGAATCTCCTGAATAAATGGGCAAACAAAAAACAAAAACAAAGGCTTCTAGCTATTTAAAATAAAGACGCCGCTTCGAAGGAACCTAGTCCTGCTGGATAAAGAAAAAAAGGCTGTTCCTTTCTAAAAAAGAAATACAAGAAGGGTTAGGAGACTTTTCTAAAATAAGTAAACACAATTAATGTTGGGAAATAAATAAAACATTTATTGTTGTCTCAACACAAACAGTCACCAGTTGCCAAGGATGCATTGGTTGAACACTTTGCTCCTCAAGTATTGGGGTATTTTGCGGTTCTTAAGTATCCAACTAAGTTTTCCAAATCCTGCCCATGCTAGTCTTGCTCTTCTAGTAATTTCCGCACTTTGGTTCTCTTTGTCAAGTCTCAGGATTTGGCCTAGGTAGATATATTCCTGGATTTGTTCTATCTCACTGCCGTTTATAGTTATATGTCTGGGGTCTTATGTGTTTGTCATTATTTTTGTTTTTTTCATATTTATTTTTAGGCCGACGTATTGGGAGCTGGCTGTTAGTTCCCCCAACATAATTTGCAGTTCCTCGAATGTGCTCGCTATAATCACTATGTCGTCAGCGAATCTGAGGTGGTTTAACTTGTTGCCATTAGCGTTAATTAACCAATGGTGGTTGACCAATTTGTAGTTTTGAAGACGTCTTCTAGGGCTAGGTTGAAAAGCTTTGGCGATATTACGTCTCCTTGTCTCACTCCTCTCTTAATGGGGATGGGATTTGTATTTTCGTCTAGTTGTACTATCATAGTTAAATTTTCATATATATTATGTATTAGTTGCCTATATCTCGAGTCTATTCTACAATTATTATTTTCTATGGCCCACATCTCGATACTATCAAACGCCTTTTCATAGTCGACGAAGGCAAGAAATACGGGTAGTTGGTATTCATTTGCCTTCTCTATCAATGTTCTCATTGTCAACAGATGATCTGATGTACTATATCCTTTGCGGAAGCCAGGCTGTTCGGATTGGTAATTATCCATTTTGTAGGTTAACCGGTTATTAATAATTCTCATAAATAGTTTGTATACTTGACTGAGCAACGATATAGGTCTATAATTCTGTAGATCACATTTGTCCCCTTTTTTGTGTAAGAGTATTACTAGACTCTCGTTCCAGTCTTTAGGGTTCTGGCTATTATGGAGACATATCTATTATTCTGGCTATTATTAATAGGTACAGAGCCTTATACCAAAATAATAAAAAAAAAAAATATAATAAAATAAATGACGGTTACGTTTCGATTTAATTTGAGTCTCTTACCATTCTCTTACACGTGTTTTTGGGTCTACCCATCATCAGAGAGAGTTTGTAAGAACACTCAAACCAAATCAAAACGCACCGACTACTAAGGCAATTATAGGAAAATATTTACCAGAGTATGCTACTAGAGACCTCTAGTAAGGAAATATAAAATAACATCACTTTCACTCTCACACTTTTCCTTTCTAATCAATTAAAATAACTTTTTAAAAAATTCACTGTTTCTAAAATTTTTCAGCTTAGTTCTTCAAACATTCATTCTAAGATGACCTACTTTCTTGATTTCGTTGAAAATCCACATACATCCTCACGCAAATCTGTACAAATACATGATATATTTAGGCCATTATTAAGACTTGAGTGTATTGCATAAAAATTATTTGAAGCCCTATAAAATCCAGTTGTTACAATAATTAAATGCAACCGTTGATTACTGTTTAGCGAGGTAATGATCAAAATAAAACTGTCACTGACAAGGTTAACAAGTTATGTTTTTCCATTGAACCAATATTTACACCATGTGGAAATGTAAATCCCCAAAATATAAGGTATTGGAGTGAGGTGGATTCATGAAAACCATACTAAAAGACCACAAAAATTAATTGTATGGCGGTTTTATAGTGGGTACTCAGTTAATTGAATATTTTTTATTGAACGACATTTAATTTTTCATTTTTAAAACCTGTCAAAGTACAGGTTTTTCGTTAAAATTATTTCGTAGAAATTATTTTAAATCTGATAAAATTGAAACTGCTTTCAATTTTATCAGATTTTAAAAAGAGAAAATGATTTCAGAAATAAGAAATATCGCATAAGAGACTTTAACGTTTCCAACGTTAGATTCTGGCTATCTTGACTTTGTTGGTTGCTATACGGAATAGCTCTTTTGAGGTCTTGCTATCCCATACTGTCAGGTCTTCAAAATTTTCCTTATAATTTACCTTGCTAAATGCATTGGATTAGCTCATACCTGCCTTGAGTTCTCATTATGCAGCTTACGGTCCAACACGATGTTGATCAAATCTGCGGTTGTGTTCATCCTCCGTAGTTCTTCTTCATTGGTGACTTTGTCTGTCCATGGTATCTTCAGGATCCTTTTGTATAACCATAGCTCAAAAGTCTGAAGTTTTGATAGTTTCCGCCTTCAATATAAGCACTGAATACATGTAACATTTAAGGAGCCTTATTTCGTTTCTAGGGTGAGGTCATGGTTCTTAAACACAGAGCTTATAGTCATGAATGTACTTCTTGCCTTTTCGATGCGAAATTTAATCTCTTGGATATTGTCCCACGACTCATTGATTATAGTTCCCGAGTAGTTGTACTGTGAGACATGTTCAATTCTCATTTGGTTCACATACAGATTTGCTCCAGTTATGTTTTTCTTGCTGATGATTATTAGCTTGGTTTTGCAGGTGTTTAGATCTAGTCCATATGTTCTACTTATTTCCGTTATTTTTTTCATTAAGTTTTGCAGCCCTTTTATGGTATTGGAAAACACTATTCTACCATCTGCATACCGCAGGTTATTGAGCTTGATTACATTTATTGAGATGCTTTCATTAATATCTTTTAAAGCCTCTTCAAAAATGTGCTCCGTGTACAGATTGAATATCAGTGGTGAAATTATACACCTTTATCTCACTCCCTTAAGATTTTGACCTGATCTGTACATTCTCCATCTATTCGGAGCACCGCTGATTGATTCCAATACAGGCTAGTTATTATTTTTAGGCCGCTTCCATCCATCCCTGTCCTCTTCAGCACTTCCATCATTTTTTTTATGCCTGACTCAATCGAAAGCCTTCTTGTAGTCAATTAGGTATGCAAAAACATCACAGCTGACATCTCTACATTTCTGAAACAATACCTGCACGCAAAATAAAGCTTCCCTCGTACCAACGACGTTTACAAATCCAAACTGATTGGTCGCAATTTGTTCCTCGCATTTTCCGTAAATTATTTTGTGGGTTACTTAAAAACAGCTTTAGCAGATCGCTTATTAGACTTATGGTCCTATACTCTTCACAAATTTTTGGGCTCCTGGTTTGTTGGGCAATTGTATGAACTCCGATTTGAGCCACTTTACTGATATTTTTCCTGCCTTGTATATTTCATTCAATATTTCAGTTATTTTTTTTATTTGTTCTGCATCTAATAGCTCATTAGTTCTGCAGGAATTTCATCAAGTCCCGGTGCCTTTCCATCCTTCGTCTGCCGGCTGCCGTTATTTCTTCTGGTAGGATTTCCTGACACGTACGCTGCTTCATTAGCTCGTATGCGGGTTTCTTCGGAGATATTTCCATAATACGATATTTGCGTTGTCAGATAGTTGAATTTCTATAATTGTTCTATTATTTCTTCGTTTATTACAATGTTCCATCTCACTGGCCCACTATCATTAACGAATGACTTAGTTTTTATTAAAACTACCTTTCATAAAATTTGCATAAATTTCCAGCGCCTAAAAAAATCGCCATAGTAATTTTTCTCCCACTTTTTTTGATATACAAGTATCTATGATTTAAATTTCCTCTGTAGATAAAATGACAGATAAAATAGATAGATTTAGCTCAGCTACAGGTGATAAATAATACGACAGTCTCTATTTAAAGCAATTTTTATTTTTTAAAAAAGTCATAGCACTACCGTCAAATAAATAACTTATTAAACATAATATCACAGAGCAAATATCACCTTAACAACAACTTCAAATTCAAAAAAACAAAGAAACTTTCCAAAACTTTGCTTCCTATAAAATTCTACAAAACATATTATTGTACAGTGGTTGTCCTCAATGAGTTAATTCCGATCAGTAAAGCAGGCTTCTTCGTTTATTTTATGCGGGTTTCACTAAACTTCTCACATATACATTTGGTGTGATTGGTAGCTTTGATTTCGATGAACCTCTTTTGAGACAAATGCAAAAAGGTGAGGGTTACTTCTTCGGCGACCCTTGGTTGGCATTTTTCGTTGTGTCTCTTGCAGCAGCCGGATCCATCACAACGGTGGAGAACGGTAGCTTGGGGCCGAATCTGAAACAAAACAAAAATTAATTATTAAACATTACTACAAAAAAAACACTCAAAATCAAATACCTCGGTCACATTATGAGGAACAGCGAAAGATATGGGTTGCTACAATTAATTCTACAAGGAAAAGTAGAAGAAAAACGAGTACCACGAAGGCGAAAGACTTCCTGGCTAAAAAATCTACCGTGGTTCAATACAACAACCACAAATCTTCATTAGAGCAGCAGTTTTCAAAATACAGATTGCCATGAAGGTCGCCAACATCCGAAACGAATGGCACAACAATAAGAAAAAACAATACTTTAAACAAGGTGTGAAACCAAAAAGAAGTTACAGATAGAAAAGCTGGCAGACAGTTTAAATAAATTGCAATAATAAAATTATCAATTGAGTTAATAACCAGGTTTTTTTCTGATTTCGTGACTGGAATTTTGAAGCTATATGAGAAGTTATTGCTGAAAAATATGTTATATTTCATTTAAGCTAAAGATTTATTCATATCACACCAGTTTAGCTTTCTAGAAAGTTACTCACAGATGATTCTATACAGAACAGATATAAAAGAGAGGTCACTTTAAGGAAAAAAAGTTTGCGCCACTGTCTTCCCAGACTTGGCGCAAGTTTTTGACAAGGTAGGGCACCAACCACGGGCCAAGAAAATACACAGAATTATTTGAGTGATACATTTGGAAAGATATTTTAGGGTTAAACAAGAAAAAACCTACTTGGAACTAAAAGAAATCAATGCAATCATACCACAATCCTAGAATATCCTTAATATCCTCGAACTAGATTATAAGACAATCGGTACTATTAAAGCCTAGGTTAGAAATTGGAATAAAGCAAAATATGACTCTTAGGCTTGTTAAAAAATTCCCCAACTTTGTTTAATTAATTCATAGCTGGTATGCGATTGTATATTTGCATGTTAAAAATAAGCAATTTAGCGAGTTCTAAATTTTTTAGTTTCAATGTATCGAAATTGTATTCCAAACAACTTTTCAGAGATATTTCTATAGTTTCAGTTGACTGCAAACAACTGTAGCTATTTTAATACAAAAGTTGACTGAACTATAAAAAGTTATACACGGGGAAGTGGAAAACAGAAATGTTTATCAGATAAAACGGTACAAGGATAAGCATGTGTGTATGTATGATATAAGTATAAAATACTCCTATCAAATATATTAAATCACATTTTCATGGTGAATTCTGATGATGTTTCATGAAAAGACTCTCAGTAAAACATTGATGATCACAGGTTATTACTAATACTGCCAAAAAAGACAGTAACGGAGAAAAAGCAATTTAATAAATATTTAATAGATAATTAGAGTGTTAATAAAATATATAACTTACATTTTTCATGTCGTTTTTGTAGAGGTTCCACATTTCATCATCAAAAACATCCATAAGGCACATAACCCTTGGTTGTGGTTCTTTGCAGGGGTACTTACTGATAGCAACCCTCTTGTTGTGATTGTAAAACTCGTCCAGCAAATCGCCACCGACGGTCACCGCACACACAGCTACACAAACTACTAATGCTATTTTCAACATTGCCATTACTATCGTTATCTGTTGTGGTCACAAATAAATTTCAAGTACTGGTATAATACTGTTTGGTCTTCACGGAGATATGTCTGTTTAAAGAGTGGTGTAGGAATTGCATAAAAGAGATTATTTATACCGCGTGTTAGCATGTTATCGATGTGTAAAAACCAAAAAGTGAGCGTAATCTAGGAAACCCAAATTGGTAACCTCTGCAGACATACACCTGTGAAAAGATGAATGTGGCGCTTATTATGGAAATGCAGCAGCTGGCTGCGCCCAGACGGAATTTACATGTAATGTACACTGCTGGACACAAAATGTCGACATCTGCTTTGATATTCTTCTGTTACGCCTTGAATTGTTTTTCCTGGTAGTTGCAAATTATTTTCGAGAAATTTATGTTAACCCTTTAGGGTATTATTTTGTAATTTAATTAAAAAAATATATGTTATTTATTATTAAAAAATATTTAAACAAAAATATTTTATAACACACATTTTTAAAAGGAACTAAAAATTTCGGAATAATTAATATCGGATTTATCATCAAAACAAAAAATCGGCACCATCGTCTTCCCATCTACTAAGTTTAGTTCATTGTTTTCAGCTTTTGTATTTCATGTTAATGTATTTCGTTGTTTTGTGATTTTGTTGTTCATGTATTTCGTTTTTATTGAGTTAATATTTGGTTCCCATCGCTCGTATTCCTGTATTAATCACTTTGTCTTGAATTGCAGATATTCCTGGTATTGTACGACGACTACTAGATCGTTCGCGAAATGAAGCATATATAGGGTTGTTTCGTTGTTTAACCCCGTTAGTTCCGTGTGTGACAGGGGTCACCTAAAATTTTAGATTTGCACCAGTCTATTAAACCTGCAATTAAAGATATATATATATATATATATATATATATATATATATATATATATATATATATATATATATATATATAGTAAACTCTTAAATATTGGGGAAATCTGCAAAAAAAAACTCTAATGTGTATCAATTATTTCACCTAACGTTTTCGCCAAAGAGAATTTGGCTTCTTCAGGGCTGAAAGAGAATAAATTATAATTAGCTACCATATATTATCTAATAAAAAACATTTACCTTACCGTGAAATTTTAGAAATGTCAAGTTATGATGTTAAAAAACTTTAGCTAGTAACAACATAGTGGTGTTTTTTTTGTTACTATGTGCAAAAAGTTTATTTGTGAACGTTGGAAATGTATGGTAGCTTTGAACTTAAAACGCAAAGGTTTACCCAAGGACAATCGAAAAACCCAATGCGACTACATTTAAAGGAAGTAATTCTTTGAATTGTCGGCAATAACTAAATTTTTAATTGTTGTAAAGTTTGAATGTGAGCTTCTGTTTTCATAGAACGCAAGCGCCGAAACAATTACAAGTAGTTCTTTTGATATGAATGTCGTTAAGGTTCATTGGTAAAACCGATGAAGTTAGATCTCCGTCTGGGGAGATATTAGTTTAGAATTTCTAATTGAAATTCTTTTATTTTTAATTAGTAAATTGTTCATGTATTATTGTAATATTATCTTATTGAGATGTATCTAAGAAAAGCAAGGGAATGTTATCTTTTTTTGTTAATGAAAATTATTATTAAAGTAGGTTAGTTGTTAATAGATATATCAGTCAAGTTGGTTATCTGTGATGTTGTATTGTTCTTGGTATCTGATTTAAGTAAGAAGTGGTATATATCGCTTAGATTCTTAATGTCACTCTTAACATTGATGGAAAAATCGTTAAGGAAAATATAAGACATTTCAATGAACTCTCTTTTAGATTTATTGCTCTCACGGTGGAGAATTGTAGTGTTCGTATAGTCCATGTGATGACCAGTGGAATGGACATGTTTGGCTAATGCACAGCGGTCTGGGTGAAGTCGAGAATCACTTTTGTGTAGTGTAATACGTGATTTCAATAATTGAGATGTTTGGCCGATGTAGGAATTGTTGCAAGAGAGACATGGAATGTTGTAGACAATATTACTAAGCCTATCTATGGGAGTCTTATCTTTTATCTTCGAATAAAGATAAGACTCCCATAGATAGGCTTAGTAATATTGTCTACAACATTCCATGTCTCTCTTGCAACAATTCCTACATCGGCCAAACATCTCAATTATTGAAATCACGTATTACACTACACAAAAGTGATTCTCGACTTCACCCAGACCGCTGTGCATTAGCCAAACATGTCCATTCCACTGGTCATCACATGGACTATACGAACACTACAATTCTCCACCGTGAGAGCAATAAATCTAAAAGAGAGTTCATTGAAATGTCTTATATTTTCCTTAACGATTTTTCCATCAATGTTAAGAGTGACATTAAGAATCTAAGCGATATATACCACTTCTTACTTAAATCAGATACCAAGAACAATACAACATCACAGATAACCAACTTGACTGATATATCTATTAACAACTAACCTACTTTAATAATAATTTTCATTAACAAAAAAAGATAACATTCCCTTGCTTTTCTTAGATACATCTCAATAAGATAATATTACAATAATACATGAACAATTTACTAATTAAAAATAAAAGAATTTCAATTAGAAATTCTAAACTAATATCTCCCCAGACGGAGATCTAACTTCATCGGTTTTACCAATGAACCTTAACGACATTCATATCAAAAGAACTACTTGTAATTGTTTCGGCGCTTGCGTTCTATGAAAACAGAAGCTCACATTCAAACTTTACAACAATTAAAAATTTAGTTATTGCCGACAATTCAAAGAATTACTTCCTTTAAATGTAGTCGCATTGGGTTTTTCGATTGTCCTTGGGTAAACCTTTGCGTTTTAAGTTCAAAGCTACCATACATTTCCAACGTTCACAAATAAACTTTTTGCACATAGTAACAAAAAAAACACCACTATGTTGTTACTAGCTAAAGTTTTTTAACATCATAACTTGACATTTCTAAAATTTCACGGTAAGGTAAATGTTTTTTATTAGATAATATATGGTAGCTAATTATAATTTATTCTCTTTCAGCCCTGAAGAAGCCAAATTCTCTTTGGCGAAAACGTTAGGTGAAATAATTGATACACATTAGAGTTTTTTTTGCAGATTTCCCCAATATTTAAGAGTTTACTATATATATATTATATATATATATATATATATATATATATATATATATATATATATATATATATATATATATATAATATGTATAAAGTCATCATCTCTGATGAAATATGGTGGAAAACTGCTAAATAATTGGATATGCAAGATCATAAATGAGATATGGATAAAAGAACGAATACCAGAAGATTGGAAGGAAGCCATTATTTGTCCATTACAAAAAAAGGAGACAAAACAGAATGCAGTAATTACAGAGGAGTAGCGTTACTAAATACCATATATAAAATCCTAGCAAAATCCATAAAGATAAGCTGGAAAAAGAAGCTGAAAATATAATAGGCGAATACCAGTGTGGATTTAGACGAGGGAGAAGCACAACGGACCAAGTATTCATAATCAGAGAATTACAAGCAGAAAGCTATGAACACAACTTACCAACGATAGCGATATTCATCGACTTCCAGCAAGCATACGACAGAATAAAAAGGAAGGAATTAAAAGAGACCCTTGAGGAACTGGGAGGTAGCAGAAAGTTGCATGATATATCTTACTTTAGAGAATACAGAAAACAGAGTCAAAGTAAACAATCATACATTGGACAAATTTAGAGTAAACGAAGGATTAAGGCAGGGCGATCCTTTGTCATCACTACTCTTCAATTTATGCATAGAAAAAATAATGCGAGAAGCGACAATTATTAGAGAAGGACTCCTATATCATAAAAGACACCAAGTTTTGGCATTTGCAGATGATATAGTGTTGCTGGCAAGAGGAAAAAAAGAGCTACAGGAGATAGTACAGAGAATAGTAAAAGCAGCAAAGAAAATGGGACTTTACATAAATGAAACTAAAACAAAATGTATGCAGTGGACAGATGATCAGTTTAGGGATGGACAAAAGTTTAAAGTAAGAGTAGAAGAAAGATCATCACACAAATTCGAGATGGTAGAAAGATTTACATAACTAGGTACAATACTATCGCGTAAACCTAACATTAAAGAAGAAATACAAGCTAGAATAATGGCAGGTAATTGAAGTGTATATGCTCTTAGTGGAATGTTGAAAAGCAAGTTTTTATCAAGAAAGGCAAAAATACAGTTATACAAAACAACTATACAACCAATAGCAACATACTGCAGTGAGACGTGGACAATAACAAAAAATGAACAAAATTTACTGGAGATATGGGAAAGGAAAATCTTGAGGAAGATATATGGAGGAATAATAAGGGACGGTTTATGGATAAGAAGATCAAATGATGAGTTAAAGAAATTATATAATCAACCTAACATAATAGGAGTCATAAAGACACAGAGACTAAGATGGCGAGGTCACCTAGAAAGGATGCCAAACACGAGGACTCCAAAAAGGGTACTAAACTACAATATAACTTCAAAAAAGAGAAAAGGAAGACCAAAAAATAGATGGAATCAGGAGGTAGAAAAAGATATGGAAGAAATTGAACTAGACGGCCAGAAAAGAAAAATAAATAACAAGAAGGAATGGAGAAAAGTCACATATCGAGCCAGAGAAGATCTTAGTACACAAACGAAAGCGAAAATGAAGAAATAAGTAACAAATTTTTTTAAGCAATGGGCCTCTAAGGCCTTTAGTGCTATTTTATAATAATGTATAGAATCAAAGAACATGTAACAATTAGTGCTGTGTTACAAAAAATAAAAGACAAGGAACTGTGTGATATTAGTTTAAAATTTTGTGGAGATTGCTGAAACATGTAGGTTTTACACATTTGTACAAGACAAATCATGGACAAGTATATGTGAACTCTCTTATCTTGTTTCAAAACGGTGTCATTTTTTAAGAAAATATTTGAAAAATAAAATGTCTGATAGTCCGAGGCAAGTTGTATTTTTAGA